TTAATTTCTTATCTACTTATTTGTGTATAAATTTTATTACACTAATTTCTAAAATTTTAGCCTTCCTAACAAAAATCTTGATCTTCCCTCCAAACATATAGTTCACGTTCATCAAGAACCGAAAGGGAAAAATTCATTTTTCCTTTTGAAAGCATTCCCTTCTGCCGACAGCAAGATGCCAAAACGAACCTTCCAGATTAAAAGTGGTGGCCAATCAACTAAAATATAATCCTTGGAATTGATTCCATCGATTGGGGAAACAGTTTTCCTACTTCATTATCTTCCTCATTATTCCACGTTTAAAGATAAAGAATAGGTTGAAAAATTGATAGAAGCAGACAATATAATTCCTTGTCCTATATGATTTTCAATCTGATTCACTTACCACCACACATTGTCCTAAATTCATCACCAAGATATGTAAGTGAATAAATGGATAGTCTCTTAAATACATTGGATCAATAAGATAGTTTTACCTGGTAATGAACGAAACTAGACAGTATTTGAACTTCTTTTTTTCTGTGATTATCGTTTAGTATTGTTCAATCTAGTCTGTCAAACATGTCCGAGATATATAGTAGTCGAGGTAGAAGTAAGAGAGACGACGAATCAGAAGATGAGGATACTCAAGAAACTTCCAGGTTATCATGGAACTATTGGTTCAAAGTGTTGAGAAACTACTCAAGACAAGATTATGGAACTGGAGGAAGAAGCCATTCTCGTGCTTATATCATAGATCCAGATAACTGGTGAACTCTCTTCATTGTACTTGCATTATCATTTTAGTATTCCATTTCAGTTTATAGTTCTTAACCTGTATGTTCATGTAATTGCAGGTGGTACTTGGCATGGACTCAATTCATTCTGATATGGGCAGTGTACTCGTCCTTCTTTACTCCATTAGAGTTTGCATTCTTCAGAGGCCTGCCGGATAAATTTTTCCTTCTCGACATCGCAGGCCAATTTGCTTTTCTAATTGACATCGTTGTCCAATTTTTTGTCGACTATCGCGATCCCCATTTCTTTCGCCTCGTCTCCAACCACAATCTCATCGCCATTCGGTTAGTACTGTACTTCTTAAAACTGTAATTCTGCTATTTACATTCTTCAGTTTGTCTTTTTACCAATTGGAATCAAGGGTTAATATTTACAGGTATTTGAAATCTCGGTTTCTGGTTGATCTACTGGGCTGCTTGCCATGGGATGCCATATACAAGGTTCTTCGAAACCTATTTAAACCTTTTATTCTTCTACATTTTCTTGGTTTGACAAGTTATACAACTATACAAGTGAGAAGTAAGGAGATTGGATTTATTTATTTATTTTTAGGTTACACGGGAACTTCTACAATGATAGCGCTTCTGTTTTGAATAAGTTCATGAAATTGAAACTAAAGTTTCGAAATCTGAAGAGAGTTTTCCTAATAACACTACCTTTTCTTAACTAAAATTTGGAAATTTTAAGGAAGATTGTAGGACAATGTTGACCAAAGTATTCGAAAACTTTGTACTAAGTTATCTGCCTCGATCAGGTTTGTGGCAAAAAGGAGGCAGTGAGGTATATGCTATGGATTAGGCTAAGCCGAGTATTTAGAGTGGCAGAATTTTTCGAGAAGCTGGAGAAAAACATACGAATCAATTATCTGTTTACAAGAATTGTGAAGCTTTTCGTGGTTGAATTATACTGCACGCACACAGCTGCGTGTATATTTTACTATCTGGCTACGACTCTACCTTCATCGAAAGAAGGATATACATGGATCGGAAGTTTACAGCTCGGTGACTATAGTTACACAAATTTCAGAGAGATTGATCTTTGGACGCGTTATGTAACATCACTCTATTTTGCTATCGTTACCATGGCAACTGTTGGTAAGTTGTTTTCGCAGTTGTTGCCATGGAAACTGGTGCTCTTACTCTTAACAGGGTCCTAATATTTTTATTTAATTAATGCTGCAGGTTATGGTGATATTCATGCAGTAAATGTCAGGGAAATGATATTTGTCATGATCTATGTATCATTTGACATGATTCTCGGTGCATATTTACTTGGTAACATGACAGCCTTGATTGTGAAAGGATCCAAAACAGAAAGGTTTAGGGATAAAATGGCAGAACTTATTAAATATATGAACACAAAGAAGCTCGGACAGAACATAAGCAAAGAGGTGGAACGCCATGTTCGATTACAGTACGAGAGAAATTACACTAACGCTTCTGTTCTTGAGGATCTTCCACTTGCTACACGAGCTAAAGTACCCATATGAGAATTCTAATAACTATTATTAATCTTGCGCGCATTTTCTGTCTCGATCTCTGTGATGAATATTCTGAACATTTTTCTTATGCAGATATCAAGAAAATTGTACCAACAGCACATTAAGGAAATTCCTCTTTTCAAAGGGTGCTCGGACGGATTTGTCAAGCAAATTGTAAGTAAATTGTAGGTCTGTTAGTGTTGCTTAAGACATCCTCACTCATTATACTAAATGTGCAGGCAATCAGAGTGCATGAAGAGTTTTTCCTTCCCGGAGAAGTGATTATAGAAGACGGCAAAACTGTGGATCAACTTTACTTCCTTTGTGATGGTAAACTGGTATGACATTTCCTTAACCGTATTTGATTTCTCTTGTTCTATCTCCAATTATAGTGATTAGAAAGCATGCGGTCCAATATTTTCTGGATTCAGGAAGAAGTTAAAAAGTATGAAGATCCTGAAACGCAAGGATCTTTATCGACTCTGGATACTCACAGTTCAGTTGGTGAAATTTCTGTTCTCTGTAACATCCCAGAATGTCGTACAGTCCAAGCTACTGAATTATCTAGGCTCCTGCGCATTGATAAGCAAGCTTTCATAGACATTCTTGAGATTCACTTTCGTGATGGGCGCACCGTTATCAATAATCTTCTCGAGGCAAGTTGATCGTGGGCTCTTAGCCTCTGTTTGGGAATAATCCCAAATTTCTGAGAGATTCTTTATTTACCAACTATATTATTATTAATAAGTTAAATTTAAGGTATGTTCTTAAAATTAAAAAATATGAAAGTATGTGCTATAGGGAACATTGTTTATGCTGTCCTAAAAATCTCAAGACAAACAACCGGCATTTTTTCGAGTAATTTTGAAAAGGAATTTCGACTGTGCATTTGTGAATTTCAGGGAAAAGAATCTACCTTTCGAAGTGACATAATGGAGTCTGATGTTATTCCACATATTGAAAAAAATGAATCGGAGTATGCTATGAGATTGAATTGTGCTGCTCATAATGGAGATCTGCATCGACTGAGACATTTCGTTGAAGCAGGAGCAGATCCCAATAAGGCTGATTACAATGGACGAACAGCTCTGGTATGTAACCAAGTATGCATGAAATCAGATTTGGTAATCAGGAAACTGATTACAAGGGAACTGATTATTAGTCATCAATTATTTCATCATTATCTTATTATTTGGTTAACCTCATTAATAACCTGAAACAAACATTATTTCGTAATGTTTATAATCCTTCAGTTATTGAGAGACAAAACTATTTAATTACAGCATCTTGCTGCATCGAATGGGTATGAAGATATTGTTCAGTTCCTTATCCAAGGAAAAGTCGAGATCAACATTAGAGGTAAGTTTCTGGTTTTTCCAATTGCCATCTACCCTGTACAAAAAAGTCTGCAGTTCTCTTCCCTAATTGTTATGAGGAACTCATTCTGGCTGAACTGTTCTTGTAGATAATTTTGGGAAAACTCCATTATATGAAGCGATCAAGAATAGCCATGACCGAGTGGCATCTTTGCTTGTGAACGCAGGGGCTTCATTGTCTATAGATAATGCTGGAAATTGTCTGTGTGAAGCGGTTGCAAGTAGAGACTTAGATTTCCTGAAAAGGCTTTTGGCAAATGGCATTAATCCAAACTCGAAAAATTATGATCTTAGAACGCCTCTACACTTAGCCGCATCAGAAGGGTTGTATCCAGAGTCGATTTTACTTTTAGAAAGTGGGGCTAGTGTCTTTGCAACAGACAGGTACCAATCGACTAGTACTCATTTTGTTTTTTAACTATTAACTAGATGAGGATTGGTCATTTAGGACGTATATTATTTGCAGATGGGGAAAAACTCCACTGGACGAAGCCCGCATAGGTGGAAACAAAGGTCTAATTATGCTACTGGAAGATGCAAGGATTTCACAGTTGTCAGAATTTTCTGTCTGCTTAGAGAGAATTGAAGGTATAGACTATAGGTTTTCTATAGGAATGTATATAATTAGAATTTAGCCTCTTTATGCAGCTTTTCTCTATCATATATTGGAGTCAGATTAATTGGCAGCTGTAGAGTTTTAGTATTCTAAAATCTGTTTCTTATTATACATATCATAGTTGGGATAGAACCAACAGATTCCTTTACAGGAGCACTTCATCCTTGATCCTCCCCGACTGCAGCATACAACTCTTCTGCAGAAAGGATACTCTCGAATCATAGAACTATAATGGAATAAATGATCAACCAACATTTATAGAATAAACGGTTCAATCCTCTTATCGGTCCTATGATTTATTGAACTCTTTTTATGAGATGACTCATAGATCTTACATATTGAAATCCTATATCATTGCATTACGTGAAATTGTTGTTTTTGCATCATGTAGTTGGCTAATATTCGACGTTTTCTCCTGCTTCCAATTTCATTATTTTGATTTTATTTTGGCATTCGTGAGTGACAGGTAAAACGCAAAAAAAGAAATGCACAGTTTTCCCAGGGAAGCCATGGGATTGTAGAGATGATAGGAGTATTGGAGTTGTTTTATGGGTTCCACAAACCATTGAAGAGCTCATTGAAACAGCAAAAGAGCAGTTAAATTTTACAAGTGGTTCCTTTATATTATCTGGTAACGGAGGCAAGATTCTGGATACAAGCATGATTTCTGATACTGAAAAGCTATATTTAGTTGGTGAAGCCCAATGAATCACCCAACTTTGTTCTGAGTATCATCCTGTGAGTGTGTAGAGAGAACGTATATAAATATATATAGAACAGTGTAATTATAAACTTTTTTGATACTGAATTTTTCAGGCTTTTTGAATTTTAGTGATTTTTTTTTTATTTTTTTAACTGCCTATGGCCTTTCTCAGAAAAAATACATACATCAACACATCCATGCATTAATTAAAGAAAATAGAACCAAGAACATAAATAATTTTCGTAAATCCATGAATTGAATAAAAAATATAAACGTAATTAAAGTCAAATAATCTAGATGTTTTGGGGGGATGGGGGACCTAGAAACTGCCAATAGGATTCAAAGATGATTAAAACTACTCAAAAGCCCAAAAATTCTCTGCACGAACTGCCTTCTCTTCCTCTTCGGTGTAGTCATTCTGGATATGGAATTTCTCCCGAACCTGTTCTACTGACCAGAGTTTCATTTCGTTCGCACAAGCATCACACATTACATCCATTAATGCCGGGAAGTTGAGATAATTTGCTGCTAAGATCAGCCCAAGAACATCGTTAAACGGCTTCTTCACAAACTCCGTGTCAAAATCCTTTTTTTCCGCATCGGTCGACGTAGAATCCGCATATTTTTCCATGAACTCTATGATCCAAGCCAGATTTTTGCTATCAACATTCAGCAACGGTATTGCGTCCAAGTCACAGCCATCTTCAACCAGATTCTTTATTGTTATACACTGAACTGCAACAGATTCTTTCACCAGGAATTCTTCATTATCGGAACTTTTCAAAATCAGCGTCTTTTCTTCCGGGGAAGACATGATTGTACGTGATTTTTTAATAAAACCCTAGAGAGAAAGTTACAGACAAAGAAAAAAAGTGGGGAAGAAGTTATGGAAATTGATTAATATATATACTGATGGAGTTGGGGTATGTCATATTAGGACTTTACTATCAAAATTGATTTTGGTCTCCTTTTTTATTGGGATTAGGAAATATTTCCTAATGTATGAAATATATTAATATAATATAACTATAAACTTATAACCTATATATATATATATATATATATATATGTTTGATCAAATTCCAAGCTCATTTGAAGAGATTCATATCATTATCTAGTAGAATTTGATATTTACGATAATAAAATTTCACTCCGAGGTTCTATACTTTCATTTTTCGTAATAAACACACAAATTTATTTTTCAAAATTTACTTTCAATATTTTTCCTTTTATTTTAAAACGCAGTGTGTTCAATATCTAAACAAGTGGAGCAAGTGTTGTAGGAATTCAATTTCTTTAGGTTCAATTTGGTAATCAATCTCTAATAACACCACTGAATTCTTACATGTTGGCTATTAGGTTCATATACACTATTTTACGAGAATTTGTTAAACAAATAAGGAGGCCTTTGAATTGACCAATAAAGTTATAGCGAATACATCGATTAGATGTGCAAGCACCTTTTGCGTATGGTAGAACCGATCATATATACAAATTGACAAAAACGTAACAATCGGCTGTGACACAGCATATGACAATAATATAATATTTAATAAAAGGGTAATTGGCACAAAATGTTCATACCTTTCAAGCTTGTTGTGGAAAATATCCTTACCTTTCATTTTTTGACAATTTTGTTCCTATTTTTACCTTTCGTTGTGCTAAACGTTCCTTTTACCATTTTTTGACATAAAATGATCAAAATACCCTCATATTTAAACAAATAAATAAATAAAATAAAATTGCAACTATAGGTCCATACGTTCCATATGTGCTACATGTCATCCACTTCCTAGAAATTTCCTACTTTTCTACGTTTTTATGTACCCGCTCCCTATCCCAGACCCTTTCTTACCCATATTATCATTTCAGAATTCAGTATCAACAATTTAACTAATTCTTGTATTCAAAGTTGAAGAGGAAATGGAGAATGGAAATCAGTCTTCTTTTTGGCAATTTAGTGATGATTTTCAACTTGAAGGAAGCTTGAATGACTCAATTTGCAGCACCAACTATTCGACCAAACACCCCACTGAGCAGAGGAATTTCAACATAGGTTTTGGTGCAAGTGAGGTTAATAACTCTTTCAATTCAATTTGGGAGTCTTCCTTTGAATGACTTAATTTGGACAAAAGTTGAATGAAAAACTTGACATTATGATTTCTTGATTTAGGAGTTCCAAACGGTAATTGCTCTGCCACAGTTTCTTCACAATATAATAAATATGCATTTCGTGGGATATTGTTAATTTGGATTTGTTGGGGTCTGTATAATGTTACCAGGACAATGCTCCTCTACCAGACTTATAAAAGGTCTGATAGAGGCCTTCTCTCCCATTTTCTCTTACCTCGACGGACCCCATGATTAAAAAAATATCCCCCCAAAAACCCACCTCCACCCCACCCCGAATTGTGAGAGGGGTTGCACTACTAGACCTCTTACAGGCCTGGTAGTGTAGCATGGTCCATGTTACCAATGGTGATGGCTATTGTTAAAAAAGTTAAACAAAGTTAAAAAATAAATTGATACCAACGGACGGCGCCTAGTGAAGTGAGAGAATTTTTTTTATTTTTAATAAGGTTTTTGGACCGATTTGCACTTTTTAAAAAGTTTGGGAGTAGGAGTGCAATTTGTTCTTTATTTTTCAATTCTTTTTGTTTTTGTTTAATTTAAACAGGAGGGTATTTTGATCATTTTACGTCAAAATGGTAAAAATGACGTTTAGCGCAATTAAAGATGGAAATAAGAGCAAAAATGTCAAAAAAAAAGAAAGATATGAACGTTTTTCATAATAAACTTAAAAGATAGAGACGTTTTGCGCTAATTACCTTAATAAAATTAAGATAGATGTGACATTTTACCTGCCACCACTCTTATTTACTATTGTCGTCTATTTTTCTCTATGTACACCACAAGGTAATTCCGTTCTATAATGAAACAAACTCTTAAAAAAAAAAAAATTTACCTTGTTTTCGCACATTCTAATTTGATTGTCGAAGTGCGGACTATGCTGGCTCCCCCCGTGGGTTCGGGTGTGAGCTGTTTTGCAGAGAATCGTGGAGGAATAGATATTTCTTGACCGAAAGGTCCAATCAAAGTTTTGAGGTCTCCAGATTAGTCGACCCGATTGACGCACCCTGGCTCAACCTTAGCTCATTAATAAACCAACCACTCAAAAAGAAGAAAAAAAAAGAAGCGACTCTACCAAAGGAAAACAATAACAGAGAAAATTCTTCAAAAATCGAAGGAAAAATGGCGTTGCAATGGATGATACTGGCATACGTAGTGGCGGCAGAGGCAGGGGTTGCAATTCTCTTAACTCTACCTTCGCCAAAGGCTCTGAAATCTCGTATTGTGTCATTGATCTCTCTTATTCTCCAGCCTTCACTCTTCGTCGTACCCTTCTCCGCTTTTCAGCTCCTGGGTATGTTTTTTATCTTTATTCTTTTGGAAAATTTATTTATTTATTTTGTTTGTGATTTTTGGGTGTTGTAATTTGAAGTGGGGGTTTATTTGATTTTATTTATTTGTGTTAGATATATATTGGAAGAATGAGCATCGGTTGATGTGTAGTGGGGAGATCTGCACTGCTGCTGAAAGAGATCGCTATGAGAAATCGGTAATTAATTTTAGGGTTCTATCTCTTAGCAAGACTTTTGGAAAGTTAACGGTGGAAGTAATTGTGAATTTGAAGCAAAAAATAAATAAAAATAAAAATTATAAAAAAAAAATGAAGGAGAAAAATTGTTAATTGAACTAGTTTGCTCCATGTTCTTTAGCACGTTATGCATTAATTTGGATTTTGATGCAAGGAAAATTCTTCGAGTACAGGCTATCCGCTGCTTTCACTCGAGGCTTCTCGTGTATTCCGCATTTTTTTCTTCAGTTCTTGAAGTTGTTTGTCAAACATAATTTCTGAAGGATGGAATATGTACCCTTAAATATTTGTATTTTTTGTCTCTGTTTGTTATCACCCTGTGGTTTCTCTTCTTAGCGAAAAAACCTCTGAGTATCCATTAAAATTTTTTAAGTATAAGAACCCCAAGAAAAATGGAAAGATGAAAATTGCACTGAAGTAGTGGAGTTGTGAATTAGTCACAGTCTGCCCTTTTGTTTTGATGGAAACCCTAATATCTTGAAGCATATGCATCTTTGGTCTCTTTCTTAGTAATCCATGGTCAGGTAGTGACTTATCTGCTTGGGGTTCTATAGCTGTGACTCCTTAATGTAGTCCATGTTGCGGTAGCAATCATTTTCATCTTTCCTCAAAATAATCTAATCGTTATGTAGTCCATTAACATTTGACGAGAGTGTGACGTTTCTTAAATGATAACCTTCAAGTTGGGGGGGGGTAGATGGGAGCTTGGTCAGTCGCACTTATACCTGTAAGTGGTTTTATCATCTGTCAGCAGGTCTTGATATTGTGCATATTACCATTGATTGTTTCTCTTAGCTATGCCACGCCCTTTTGTTTTGATTTGCACAAATGTGGAAAAAGATTTATCTGTTTATTACCAATTCCTACTTTTACTAAAGATTTTGGTTTAGGCCACCACTTAGGTTGCATGTTCTTGATTCAAACTCTGCCCGCTTGTGTGAGTTGCAGATCTACAAGGCTCAGAGGAATGCAGTTTTGTGTGTTTCAGCTTGCCTTCTGTATTGGTATGTGGCTAACAATACTGACCACCTTTGGCACGTTTGGTGAGGTGGACTCGGAAGTACCCTATAGTGTTTAGAACAAAAAAATTCAAAATCTTGTGTATTACACTGTCGAGTCTTGTCCAATACTCTCTACCAAACATGCTAACTTAGGTTCTGGTTTAGTTTTCGATCCTTCTTTCCTCAATTTTGATATTTTGATATTTTTAAATGCTGGTGCAGGTGTATCTACCGTATTTGCAAGTATCACAGGGATATTCAGAGCATGGAGGAAGTCGAGAAGAGGTACAAGGAGCATTAGAAGATTCAGTGGCTTAGCCATTCAGTTGCATCGATAGTGAAGCATATTATGCATCTACCACTGCCATTATTTTTTCGTTTTACAGTTTATGTTTACTGTTTTATGTTGAATAATTCGTCGTGTATTTGTAGTAGGGATCTGAAGTTGTGCAATTTTATAATAATTTCTTTTCGAACAGTGGGACGTTAGAATTCTTTCAATCATGAGAATACCATATTCTGCCAATCTAGAGGACTCCATATTGTGTCATTTTAGTCAGGGGTGAACCCAGTATCATGATTCTGTGGGGGCAAGATAGAATTATGTAAAAATTCTGAGTTAAAATTATGGATTAAAAAATTTTGTGGATCACTTTGTAAATGTCAAAAATTAAGGGCCCAGAGTATGCAATGGATCCGCCCCTGATTTTATTGAGTGTTCTCATCAATGCAATATCATCGGAGACAGTCTGGAAAATTCGAATACACAAAAAAAATTTAAAAGCTTTTTTTGTTTCTTCTGAATTTTCATTTATGGGACTCTTATAACTACAAATTATAAAGGTGTATGCATCTGGTAAGTCCACTATCTGATAGAGGATTCATAGCCAATGAAAAAAATGCTTCCGTATGCACTTTTTGTTCCTACATGAACTCTGTAAAAAAAAATTCTCAAGTAAAATTTCAGGTCAGAAACAGTAATGTGAAGAACTCGTTTCAGTAATAGAGAGAGAATAATCCTCACTTATAGCATAAATGTCTCCATCCTTCTCTTCCTCCCACTTGATGATCTCCTTTATGTATTTGAATGCTTTATCTACTGATGCTCGTTTCCGGGCTCTCGTCTTCCAAACATATAGCTTTCTGCCCGTGATGGACGCATATAACTCCTTGAACTTCACGGCTACATAGTAATACGCTTGATGTGCCAGGGACTGGCTGTTGGTGCGAGGCTTCAAGGGGTTGAAGTCGCGGAACCACTCACAAACTGTTAATGGAACCTTGTTGATTTTTTCTTCGAAGATGTCATATTTGTTCAAGAGGAGAACAAATGGTTTGCCCTGAAATGAAGTATGTCTCGTGATGTACTCAAAAGAATCTCGGGTTGCCAACATCTTATTCTCCAGAAGACCCGTACCCCGGCTCCCAACATGGTCATAATCACTCAAGGAAACACAAAAGATCACTGCTCTCACATCTTCAAACATTTCCAGCCATTTGCAGCCACCATGCAGTCCATTAAATCTGAGGCGTATCAATTGGATCCTAAAAACAGCATAGAAAAAGAAAAGGGTTGTTTTATATAGGAGAACTTAAAACTCTCAGCTAAGAAAGATGAGACTGGAAGTGCATGTTTGGCACATAGAATTGGATAGGACTTGAGAGTATAATTGAAAAGATTTTAGAACACTATTGAGTAGTGTTTAATGTGCTGTACCAAACATGTCCGTAATTGATATTTTGCAATTTCTTATAAGAATTCACTTTGTCAAAGGAGGTTGGCATTCAAAATTTTCATTGTACACTCCAGACATGGAGCTACGATCATCGAAGGAAAATTCAATACTGGCAAGTCCATTGTTGGGAGTGACTCCTTCAGCAAATAAAATGTCTTCTTCTGAAGGTTCGTACTCGTTACATGATATCTCCATGACCTGGAAAACACAATAAGTTTGTTTAAATCACACTGCCAATAGCACATAGAGAATTTCGATTTTAGATTTTAATATAAAAATATTTGATAGATGAATTGATGACTTAGTCCGTGAGATCCTCTGGTTGGTTATAACTGGCTGCTCCTTCAGAGCCTTGTATATGATCTTACATCAGACGAGAGAAAATGGGAACAGCATTTTTAAATGGAGGATAAAATATCTGGTTCCAGCATTTTTATTTCCCGTAACTTCAAAATTTCACAAGTATGGGCTATTATTGAATTTTTCACTGAAAAAAAATCATGTTTTGTACATGTATTGACACAATTAGTTCCATGACATCCCAAAATATTTTCAATCAGTAAATTATTGCCAACAGTCTATCAGTTCAAGGAGAAAGTTATTAAATCATACCCGGTCTAAGAAATACTTAGCTACATCGGGGAGAAAGTGCAGTTCCTCCCTCCTCTTGTAAGTTTCCTGGACAGCAGAATCTTTCCAACTTTCATCTACTACAGAAGCATATTCACGTGCTGCAGCAGGAAAGAAAGCATTCAAATCTCCAGTGGCCATGATATCTAGTAACCAATCTGAAAAATGCTTGATTCTCTGGTTGATTGAATAGATGCAATGCTCACTTCCTTCAAGCCCCATTTCACCTGAATAATTTGCAATGGTAAACAAGAGTAAGAGCTCGTGCCCGTATTCAAAATCGTTCTCTAAGGCACCAGGAAATGCCAACTAGCTCCAAAAGATATGAGAAATCTCCACATAGATCCCATTAGATATAGTCAAGAAGAACAAATGTAACTCATATTTAATCCACCCTGCTCCTGTTACTCAATTTATGTGAATTTCCATTGAATCCTCCATGTATTGAGTTAACGTAAATAAGATAATATATATATGTAATTGAAGCCTCATCTCCTTCCCCATTCAGGGGGAAATGTGAAGCAGAAAAGATCCCGTGCTCCAAGATATGGGAAGTTACTGATGTAGAACGTAATACATAAAGAGAATAGAGAGAAGAGAAGAAAAAATTGGGAGGAGAAAAATCTACATTTCTGATTCAATATATTAATGTGGTGAAAAAGAATTGAAAAAAATAGGTTTCCTTTTTTGGGGTAATGAACTCAAATCTAAAAGAACCGATAACTAACAACCATTAAAATGATAAAATCCTATCTAATAAAATAATGAAATATAGTCTCTAATTGAAACTCCTATCTCTTCATCTTGTTTAGATAGGATAGACTTCCTGTTCCCATCAGTGACTGTTCGCCATCTTCAGTTTTCTCTTGTTTAGCCCCTGCTCACCTCATTAGCTAGAAAAAGAGTGTGAACAATTTTCAAATTTTGTACTTTTTTATTGGAAATAAATATGCAGCATAGGAGAGAAATCTGCTTTCTGATAAATGAGTGTGACAATTAACAATCTTAAGATAGCCACTGTTAATAGCTTCAAAGTTTTTTTATTTAGATGGAGGGATAATTAGTTGGATAGCTTTCAACAAATAGGAGGGTGTCTCCTTTAGAGTGGTGAGCCTAAAAAGTTCACTACCAAATGATCAATGAGATGAATGCCATCCAGATAACATGTTCATTATATAACTAGTAAAATATCAGTCATATTTCTCCTATTCTCTGACCAAGAGCACAAAATCTTGTCACAGAATCTGAATTGATTTATAAGCAAAAAGTTTACTACATCGTATTGTAAGAACAAGAATTCATTGCAACTTTGATGGGCTCCTGAATCTTTGAGGTAATACTTTACTAAATAATGGTTTCTTCCATATGTTGTCTAAGAGAAGGGGAGGTGGAGAAGAAGGAATCCATAATATCCATTAATAGCATCAGACTAACTAATCATACATACCACAAAACTCTTCCGTATTCAAAGCCTCCTCTTCAAAGCGCTCTCTTCCCTCAAATAAGATACTGAGATATACGTAAATGTTACTTTGAATTATGAGCTTGATATTCTGCAGTTCTTCAGCAGTGAACTTGTTAGCATATAGAAATTTAACCTGTTACATGAAAAAAATAACAAATTCAATCAGCTAAAAGAATGGGTACAATAACATAGAACAATACAAAGAGGAGGAGGAATCATTTTTGTGAATGTACTCTTCCAAATCTAAATTAGATATATTCTAGGTGCATGATGGAAAAACTGTATCTAGGAAGGAAATTATTATGGACCTTCACCAAAGTTGGATGACCTCCAATGCTTGAATACAGTAATTTTCATTTCAGTTGAATAATCCTCTCTCTCTCTGAGTAAGCAAAAATAATAGAACCACACTATAAAATGTACCTGCTTAAAAATGGTGCTTGACCCAGACTCCTCAAATCCAAGCATCAAAAGTCTCTGGACCCTATCCTGGTCCAAATAATCAGGAATAGACCTAGTTGACAATAGAGTAGGTTCTTCTTTTGTACTATGAGAACTTTCAGGTGGCACAGGCAATGAAAATAGCGAACAAATGAAACGAGTGGACGCCTTCCTAGCAAGAAGCCAACCTCAACTTTTCAATCCAATCGAACAACTTCAAATAATTGAACATAGTATCAATGAACATGAAAAGAATATTTCATTAGAGTACGAGAGAACCTTTTTCCATATGTTTCCTTTAATGTTGTTTTGCCCTTCTTCCTCATAGGATCCGTCCTCATATACCCAAAAGTGAGTATCACAAGGGCACTGCACCTTAGCCAACTGAAAAGAAGAGAATGCAGAGACAAATCAAGTTCCAAGTAGCAATAACTTAGGTTTTAAGTCAGTACCAACAAATGTAAGAAAGTTTACGGGTACTTAATGTAACTGCAAGTAGTAATAGTTGCAAACAAGTGGTTTCCTATGAGTCTACAACTATCAGATGGATTTATTCACTCTTATCAGAATCCAAGACACCCGCCTTACGAGAAACTTAAGTTGAATTTTGATACCAATTCATTTTTAGAGCTAATTTACTATAGAATGCACTGCACAAACATTCCTCAGAAAACAGAGATGAGAAATGTGAAAGGATAATTTCCACTTTACAGAAACCTTTTACCTTTAACACTCTGAGCTCATCTTTTGTGATCTCGCGGCCATTTATGTAGACCCTCGTATTTCCATTGCTTGCATCAATCTGTAGCTTGCCTCCAACATCTAATTTCGAACTTATAATCCTATTTGGCTTCTCTCCGGCCTGCAACAAGTTGAACAATCAACATCTTAAGAAAACATCATACGAATATCAAAAGACAAATGCTAAAGAAATCATGCTTCAATAACACATTTCACCTTCCCCCAAAGCCCGGAATCTCTGTCATACCAATACTGCCCGGGCCTCAAATCCCTTGGAGGAACCACACACCCCAGCAATTCCACCAATTCTTCTTCCCTCAAGTGTCTCCCATTCACAACCACCTGCTCTGGCATCACCTGATTCACCGTGCACTCCCTCTCGACCTTCATTATTCGCTTAACCTCCAAACTGCCGCACAATTTCACCAACAGCCTCGAACACTTCCCCAAGCTCCCCCTCCTCGCCTCGTTAATGGGTTTCCCAATGCATCCCAGACACTTCCTCCCCTCCGG